TTTTGACTTGTGTGACACAAACACAAAAACCACAGTACGTGTAAGGTTACATGTAGGGTATGTATGTAATAGTATGGCCCCCAGAGCACAGTACAAAAGAACCCACGCTGTCGTAGCTGTGGCTAGCAGTATTTGACCCTGGGTCTAGAGGAACGGAGACGAGATAATGTAAAACATAGTCTGTGATAATAGAAGAAACACTCCAGGTTATTACAAGGCTGGGCTAACTTGTTCTCTTCTAACGCATCCAAAGGGAGGCCAAGCAGACATTTTGGGATCCCCGGTCTATCTATATTTGCCTGCATGTACACTAAACAGCTCACACTTTCACACAAAGAATAAGGGGACTTCCAAAGGCTTCAACACCTACAAAATTAACAGAACACACACAGCGCTTCCATCCTCCTAGGATCTCGAAATGCATTAGCTGTGCACAAAGGTAGGAGTATAACATACAACATATATATACAGATGGTAATGATTCCTATAATACCATAGTTGGCTGGCTCCAGAGGAAGATTAGGACTCCAGTGTACATGGGGTGACGTGCCCAGCCATACACACCACTCACTGTCAGCTGACCATCTCCAGTCCCACCCTCACCACTGCAGCTATCATGATAGCCCATCATGAATAATGGCAAATGCCACCATTTATGCAATGTCCACTGCATATTATTACAACCCCAAATTTGAGATCCCAGGACAGTTTGGACACAGGCCCTATCTCTGAATATCGAAAGACTGTTACATTCAGAGATAGTTAGTGAGCCCCGGAACTCCCTGATTGACATTCTCAGATTATCCCTGGCATAATTGGCGAGCAAAGTGAGGGAATTTTCTCTTTATTTGATGGGCACTGCACTACAGTAATGTTCTACGTCATTCTAAATACGCGGAAAACATGCACGAAATATTGAACTGCTCGCATTATAAAGTGCTGATAGGCCTAGCTGACATAACTAAAGTCCCTGTAGAATTACTAGGTCCTAGGCTCCTAGTCGTTTCAAGCACACTATTGGGTTGTAGATTAGGATAATCTGTGGGCCTAAACTATTTCACGAGAGAGAGAGAGAGAGAGAGAGAGAGAGAGCGCAGCCAGCCCCTGAGAGCTGTTTGAGTGTGGAGGTCAACACACACACAGATTGCGTACCTTTTTGACAGCCAAGTGTACACCACTAGAATGCAACATACTTACCTAGTACCTAAAAGCAGGTTGATCTGCTTTTGTAAACCACAAAACTCGAGAGGTTTTAAGGAGAAAAAGGACACGACAATGACAGCTGCACCACACACTTGGAGACCTAATGATTGAATAGCCTACACTAAAAGATACCAAGTTATGCACTGTACATGTATACATTGTTACTCAAGAACGTAATGCATTTTTTCAGGTATTAAGCCACTTTAAATATCACTGGATAGTTGCCCAGGAAATGCCTGTGTTATCTCTAGTGGTGGACAAAGGTATGTATAATAATTTTACAGCCTAGCTATGCAAAATGCCACTATACTACATAGTAGCTAAAATGTACGAACTTCTCCCATCCAGTAAATTTAAGTAGTAGGGAACTTTATAAATACCAAATCCTCCCCACTCAGGGTTAGAGGATGTCCCAATCTCTACAGCTTACAATAGAATGATAGTCTGAGTCCTGGACTCTGTACGTGCCACACTCCATGTGGCAGTGGTGACCATCCGTATGCAGCCAGGAACAGAGTCACAGAGCTGACCAGGAAATACACCTGGCGGTAGAGAGACTCAGATAGGACTGGAGAGAAGACCTTTTTCATCCAACCTCTTGCTAGCAAACTGCGTGGAACAAACAACACAATGTTGCCAGAAAGTGTGTCATTTTGGAAACTGTAGTCCACTACAACTAAATTCTGTTGTATAAAGAGCTCATAGAAAGCCACGGCTTCACTGTATCCCACATTACAGCCACCAACTGTGAACAGGAATATCTTAATTCTCTTGCAAGGTGTATACATACCTGATTTGTGAACATTCCTAGCTAGGCCTCATTAGGTTACATACTTGAGGTTTTATATTGCTAGTTATATACCAGGCACCTGTGAGTCCCGAAGAAGACGGCCAGGAGCAGTAGATTGTTGACTACAGGGTAGGAGCCAACGAAAAGAGCTGGAAGATGGTGAGGCAGCTTCAGATGAATGCTGGCACCATCATACGCACCAGTGTAGAAAACTCCCATCTGGCGAGAAATTACACAAGCTAATGCCGGAAGGCCGAGTCCAGCTAGTCACACAGCCAGTGAGAAAACAAGGCGGGATTTACATAGAGGACTGAACCCCCAGCCATCAGAGTAGAAACGACTCCCAGGAATACAAGCAGAGCCGCTCGCAGCTTCTCCATCCCAGCACCACACACGCCACTCCTTCCGCTGGCCTAGAAAAGGGGGCAGGGCTGCCACGCCGTCGATGGTCCCCCGCCAAAATCAGCCTCCCGGGACCTCCGTGGCAGGTCCACCACCCCTGCACACACGGTCCCCCACCCGGAATATAATATGCACAAGTATCAAGCGTACCCGTGTCGGTATTATATCTTAGCATAGTTGGGTGTCACTGAGCCGTGTCACAATGTGTTTTCCGACGGTACTGAGCTACGTCTTCTCCCGGGGATCCCCGCTGGCGCATTCACGTGGTCGCCCCCACGCGCGTTACTCAGTGCAATACCTGCAGTGAATGATTAATTTGTATAGAGCAAAAAAATAGCCTTGTGTGGAAAAAGTTAGATTCCGTATGGTTTACAATAAACGTTCACAAAAAAACTTGTCATCTCTCCTAAGCACACGGACACGGATCAGCATAACGGCGGCAGGCGACGACCAATATTGCTTGTTGATAGCAGCTAGCCAGTGTACTAGCTATAGCAGCGAGGGCTTATAGGCTACCAAAGAAAGAAACTAAGAAGTATAGACTAGGTGGACACCATCGGCGGCAGGGGGGACCGTCCGGGGTGTCGCGGACGGTCCTAGGGGATCGATTTTTCTGCTGTGGACGGTCCGGGGGGACCAAAGTTCCGGGTGCCGCTTTGGGGGGGGGGCAATTTTCGTGTCACAGGGCTATATAGGATTATTATCCACGTGATAAGTGGGTGGGTCTTGTACTACGCGCTCGGGGGCCAACTACTTACATACATACCAACCATCCAGCTTTTTTCAAGCAAAAATACTGCCAGAAAATCACCAAATCCCTAATTTTTGTGCTAACCTGTGATACATCATGCCCATACATTAATGTGAATGAACATGCATCATTTTTGAAGCAAAAATACTCCAAATCAAGCAAATTTGACACATTTCTCAAGCAAAGGTTTATCTGCAGGTTGGTAGGTATGTACTTAGACTAGGGTGGGGGTCGATCAGTCAGCTGGCATCATGTTTTGCATAGCAGCGAATGCATCCCTGTTCATCGCTGGGATTATATCTACTTTTGTCTGTAGGTACGCCCAAGGGAGCTGGTGCTGCTTCTGCTTCATGGTCGAGGGCTCGAACTGAGCAGCCATGGAATGCAGGAATCGCCGAGGGCAGTTGCTGGTCTAATCTCACACATGGCAGTCCACGACAACACATCTGGACATTTGCGATTGCTTCTTCTGAGGTCCAACAAACTCGGGAAGATGTCTGTCCCTTGTGATGCCATACCACGATTTGATGAGGGGAGACTATTTCTGTGAATCAGGAGTCGACTCAGGGGTACATGGTGGTAACCATCCAGACGATCCTCTCTGAGATTGTGGTAGCTAACAACAGTAGGTGTTGCTGATTCAACAATCTTTCATCCACTAACACACTCTCCCCCCGTCCTTTGACCCTATAGAGGCCAGGCAGACTGTGTCGATTAGATGGTGGTGATGATGATTTCATTGTAATATGTAAAGTAGTGACAGAATTCGAACTTCAGCAGAAACCAGAGTTTATACATGGTTTGTACTGCGTTATTGTACATAATAACTATAATACTGTTAAATTCGACATTGTTTATAACCCAGATTTGTATTTAATCATCGATCATACAAGAAAGGAAGAAAGAAATAAAAATCAGCTCTAGCTACCAGTGGGTTTGAACCCACCACCTCTTGCTTGCTGGGCAGTGTAGCTAGCTATTAGGCAGCGGAAATAAGCTTTTGTCCAACGTGAGTAGCTACTCTGACTCGTCATAAGCAAGCGAGATCAAAAATACACATTACATAGGGTCATCATGAGAGAGAGGAAGAGAAACAGAGCTGAGTGTCAGATAGACAGTTGTGGATGAAGTTTTGGTTGGTCTAGTCGGAATACGTGAGGGTCATGAGGCCCGAGGGGCAGCTCTACAGACGGAGATAGGATCGATTTACAATGCTCTACAGATAAATCGCCGTGACTTTAGTGTATCTAGTGAGACTAGCGTTTTTAGTATGGTGGTAATAATGTCTGCTGAATAATTATTTAGCACATCGCGTGACCCTCCCTCTCTGCGCGCGCGCAACAGTCCTCGAAAGAGGGCGTGGTCTGAGTACGGGACTACAGTCAGCGAGCCGCCACCCGCCATCCATGAAGACAACCTTGAAGTTTTGCATAACAGCGAATGCATCCCTGTTCATCGGTGGGATTATCTACTTCTGCCTGCAGGGTACGCCCTACGGAGATAGTGCTGTTTCACGGCGGATCAGACACGGGGCGGGGCAAGCGCGGAGTCTCCTAGCCTCAGGGGTAGTACACGTTGCGGCTAGTCGTCTCAGTTTCTCGGAGCCCGTACGCGACTTGCGTGATGTGTCAGGAGCCAGTCTGAGAGCCGAACCATGGCTAACAGACAATGGAACAACGGTAACCGTCTCGTGGGAGAACATACACAGCCCGAGCATCTCCCAGCCCTTTGACTGGGTGGGTCTTTACTGCACGTCAGGAGCTGATGGTAGGGCCTACCTGGACTACTCTTTTATCAGTGAAAGTCCCACTCACGCCGAGGGACGCGGAAGCCTGAAATTTGTCCTTTATAATCTGCGTACAGACTGCGAGTTTCGTTACTACCAGAACAGCACTTTGACTACACTGCTGGCAGTCAGTAACAAGGTGAATTTTAGAGGTGGAAAATCAAGGCCCCTACGAGGTCACCTGGCATTAACTGAAGACCCAACACAGATGCGTGTCAGTTGGACAACTGGGAGCTCTACCAGACCTGTAGTGTACTATGGCCTGAGCAGGGACAACCTAACACTCTCTGCAACTGGGACCTCTAAGACTTACACCATTTCTGATCTCTGTGGCCCTCCAGCTAATGACAGCAGCTTTTTCGTTGACCCAGGCTCCCTGCACGATGTCCTACTCACCAATCTTAAGCCAAAGACGATGTACTATTACAAGTACGGTTCTGGAGTTTCTTTTAGTGAAGTCAAAAATTTCACAACGGCTGTTGTTGCTGGAGATACAACTCGGTTCAAGTTCATCATGTATGGGGACATGGGGCTCAGTTCACCTCCTGGAGCTGAAACTACTGCCCAACTTGTGCTGAATGAAGTACTCGGTGGAGCAGCTTTTGTAATGCATCAGGGAGACCTCAGCTATGCGCTTGGTCGTGCAGTAAAGTGGGACACGTGGATGAACCTTATTGAGCCATATGCCAGTCTAGCTCCATACATGATCGGTATTGGGAACCACGAGTATGACCACGAAGTAGGAGGCTCGAAAGACCCCAGTCACACAGGAGGCGAGGGATTCCACCCAGAGTGGGGCAACTTTGGCTACGACTCGGCCGGTGAATGTGGAGTTCCTCCGTTCTACAGGTTTCACATGCCAGACAATGGAAACTCAGTGTTTTGGTACAGCTTTGACTACGGGTTGGTTCACTTCACAGTCATTAGCACTGAGCATGACTTTACACCCGGGTCTCCCATGTACTCGTGGATAGAAAAGGACTTCCAATCAGTCAACAGGAACTGACACCTTGGCTTATTTTTGTTGGTCACAGGCCTATGTACTGCAGTGAAAAGTACCCCTCGGACTACATGGTTGCGGTCGGGATACAAGAAGCACTCGAAGACCTGTTTTATGAGCACTCTGTCGACCTGGCAGTCTGGGGCCACTATCACTGTTACGAAAGGACTTGTGCTGTGTACAAACAGGTTTGTGACCCAAAAGGAACTGTGCACATAGTAGTGGGATCTGCTGGCTATGAACTGGATGATGCTGGTACTTATAATGTCCTGTGGTCGATCTATCACGAAATAAACTTCGGGTACTTGCGAGTTGAAGTTGCTAACACAAGTGCTCTCCATCTTGAGTATGTTCGCAATAAGGACAGGGTTGTCGCCGACCAGGTTTGGCTTCTTAAAAGAACCTGATGTTAAAAAACAAGTGTAACTGTGAACTACGTAGTATTAGTTTTATGTCTACTAAACCAAAGCAGGCTATTTCTCTGTTTATTTTCTGTCTGTGTTCGTGTCTGTAGCAAATAGCTTTTGTAAATCCAGAAAAACCACACAAACTTCAATTCCTGCTGCCTCCAGGTGTCTAAACCTTAGGTCCACTCATGAGTCAAAGACAGGGTGCAGTTATTGATTTGATTGATGTGAAGCTCCACTGATTGTCAAAAGATGCTCTGAAATTAAAGCGAACATGTGCTGTTCAAAAATCTTACTTAAAGTAAAGAAATTGGGCGGTGTAGCTATGTGAATTTTTGTTTGACTTCACTTAGGGATTGTGACAACGTGAGAACTTCCATAAAAGTCTGAGGGATTAAAGAGTTTCGTAACTGATGGTGCAATAATAATTGGTATTGTCACAAGCAGTGGACTTTGTTGCATCTAGTGTTTCCAGAAGATGGTGAACTTTGTCTACAGTACATAGAAAATAGGGCTAGGGCTCAGGGGCTATATACATTGTGTGTCGTCAAAGTGTTGAATGATGATTGAACCGTCAAGATTCCATTTTCTTAAGCCAAACTCTATCAGCCACAGTCCTATCAATGTTACATATAATTATAATCAATGCATAGGGCACTGGCATTGGCAACCACCACTCGTAGGTATCCAAAACTCCGTTCATAATGTAGTGACCATGGGTATTCATTGATGCCAGCATCACCTAGTTCAAAGCCAGCCGACCCCACCACTATATGTACTGTTCCTTTTGGGTTGCATATGTTTCGGTGTACAGCACAAGTTCTTTCATAACTGTGAAAGTGGCCCCAGATTGCCAAGTCAACTTGATTCTCATAAAAGATACCTTCCAAAGCCTTCTGCATTTCCGTCATTATTCTATACTCTTTGGGGTACTTTTCACTGAAATACATCGCCCTGTGCCCAACAAAAATAAGCCAAGGTGTCAGTTCCCTGTTGACTGATTGGAAGTCCTTTTCTATCCACGAGTACATGGGAGACCCGGGTGTAAAGTCATGCTCAGTGCTAATGACTGTGAAGTGAACCAACCCGTAGTCATAGCTGTACCAAAACACTGAGTTTCCATTGTCTGGCATGTGAAACCTGTAGAACGGAGGAACTCCACATTCACCGGCCGAGTCGTAGCCAAAGTTGCCCCACTCTGGGTGGAATCCCTCGCCTCCTGTGTGACTGGGATCTTTCGAGCCTCCTACTTCGTGGTCATACTCGTGGTTCCCAATACTGATCATGTATGGAGCTAGACTGGCATATGGCTCAATAAGGTTCATCCACGTGTCCCACTTTACTGCACGACCAAATGCATAGCTGAGGTCTCCCTGGTGCATTACAAAAGCTGCTCCACCGAGGACTTCATTCAGCACAAGTTGGGCAGTAGTTTCAGCTCCAGGAGGTGAACTGAGCCCCATGTCCCCATACATGATGAACTTGAACCGAGTTGTATCTCCAGCAACAACAGCCGTTGTGAAATTTTTGACTTCACTAAAAGAAACTCCAGAACCGTAATTGTACTAGTACATCGTCTTTGGCTTAAGATTGGTGAGTAGGACATCGTGCAGGGAGCCTGGGTCAACGAAAAAGCTGCTGTCATTAGCTGGAGGGCCACAGACATCAGAAATGGTGTAAGTCTTAGAGGTTCCAGTTGCAGAGAGTGTTAGGTTGTCCCTGCTCAGGCCATAGTACACTACAGGTCTGGTAGAGCTCCCAGTTGTCCAACTGACACGCATCATTAATGCCAGGTGACCTTGTAGGGGCCTTGATTTTCCACCTCTGAAATTCACCTTGTTACTGACTGCCAGCAGTGTATATAGTCAAAGTGCTGTTCTGGTAGTAACGAAACTCGCAGTCTGTACGCAGATTATAAAGGACAAATTTCAGGCTTCCGCGTCCCTCGGCGTGAGTGGGACTTTCACTGATAAAAGAGTAGTCCAGGTAGGCCCTACCATCAGCTCCTGACGGGCAGTAAAGACCCACCCAGTCAAAGGGCTGGGAGATGCTCGGGCTGTGTATGTTCTCCCACGATACGGTCACCGTTGCTCCGTTGTCTGTTAGCCATGGTTCGGCTCTCAGACTGGCTCCTGATACCTCATGCAAGTCGCGTACGGGCTTTGAAAATCGGAAGCGAAGCGCTGCCTCAAGAACGGGATCCGCCGGATGCCGATCTACCACTGCTTGGAGTCTCTCGGTCGGTGACTGCAAACTGCCATATCTCGTTTGTGTTCCTGGAACACTAGAATAAAAGCTGTGACAAGCGAACCAAGTGCAGCAAAGGCGAACTTCTTCCTCCTCATATATACTCCACCTTTACACGTCCGGTGTATAATATCCCTCCGGATAATATATCCGGGGGCAAAATACCCGGGCTCCGGATATTTTTAGTCGTCGGGCGGGCCCGGCCCGTCGTGTAAGTGCGCATGCGCATGCGCGGCTTCTTTACGCGTTATCCGAAATCACACAAGCTGCCTCGCCCGTCGATCTATATATAGCGCCGCAGCGAGAGAACACTCCTCCATTCGATGGCATGCGCTGCAATCTTCGGTGACTGACCGAGGCTGTACCTCTTCCCAATCTTCATGGTTCGAAGGTGCAACTTGGAAATAAGCTAGGATTGCTTGTGTATGGAGGGAGATTCGTGTAAAAATTACGCACACCAACGTCCGTTAAATAAGATAGTCGCACTGCCACTACGTACATTTGGGTATATGTATGGGGGGGAGATCAGTCTCAAAATTACACAGGGGTGCAGTCGCTCAATTAGGGTGTATGGTCTTTTCATTCGGGTATGGTGTATGGGTATTTATTTTTAAACTCTTTGGGGCCCAAATTATTGAGTTACGTTATTATTACAAAAAGCTGGAATGCTCATTTTCACCACTGAAAACTTACTTCCGCATTAGTGCTGAGTCTCGATCTCCTGGCCATTGTGGAAGCGTTAGCTCAGTTGCGTGGGCTAGAAAGTGGGAGTATATCAGATCCTGCGAGTCTGCGTGGCTCGCGCGTACGTATATACTATGCCACTGCACGCTCGTCACGCCCTCGAGTACCAGAAGGCGTGGCGTGCTCTATTTTTTTGCATTAGCGTTGGTCATATTGAAAAGAAAGACACAGGAGGCGGACAGTTGCAATGAAGAGCTTTATCCCAGAGAAAGAGAAGAAAAGCGGGTGTACACACTACTCATGCAACGCATTACATTTGTATTCCACGTTTCTATACGTAAAAAGCCACTCCAGTGGCTTTGGGCCCAAAAGAGATTTATTAAACTTCATGGGGTGAATTGTACTATGCCAAGGAGCAAGAAAAATATTTTAAAGGAATTTTTATGCATTAATAAATGCATCATTAATATTCTGAGTTCAGGTCCCATACGGTGTTAGTGTTGGGAGCCAAAAAGTTTTTACATGTCATGTTCCATGTAAATGTAACTGACATGCCTGAACATGGAACAGGACTTTTTGGCATAGTGCAATTCCTTTCTTTGCCTAGTACAATTCACCCCATGAAGTTTATAAAAAATATGAAAAATTATAGCAAAAAATACCCACACACCATACCCGAATGAAAAGACCCTACCCGAATGAAAAGACCATACCCGAATGAAAAGACCATAGCTACCCAAATAAGAACACCACACCATAAAAGACCATACACCCTAATTGAGCGACTGCACCCGTGTGTAATTTTGACACTGATCTCCCCCCACACGTTGTAACCATGCATGAGATCATATTTGGGGAGAGGAGCGAGACGCTTGGGTATCAGCAGTGGCATAGGAACCACGGGGGCTCCCGGGGCTGGCACCCACCTATATTATCTCGGGCTCGCACATAGAAAATAAGTGGGTGTGGCAGCGCCTACTTGTCCTTTACGCATGCGTGTGGAGCCCCCCTTTGTCCGAAAATCTTCCTACGCTACTGGTATGGATAATGTGTGGAGTCTATTGTACAAGTCTCCAGTCCAGTTTAATTGAACAGGCTGTGCTGTATTTGAAGGCGGAAGCCACCCACACAAAAGGTAATTGGGTCCATCCCAGCTCCCTCCTCAGCCTCTCATAGTTGCAGGGGAAGCCAGCCATCAGGCACATGTGGCACTTGCATGTTGTGTTGTCATAGTAAAAACTTTCATTGTTTTTTGCACTCTTCTAAAGTGGGTATTCTAGCTCTGGAAAACTTGGCTGTCAAGATGAGAGTCTATCTTAGCATTAGGCTAATTATAATTATATATGTATATATATATCTCTTTTGCTGAAACGTGTTAATTCTATATATCGAGCATAGTGTTGAGATATCGAGGGAACAACAAAGAATGAAGGACACTCTGGGGATTTTTATGAATGTACTAACATAATTATGGTTTGACTTTAGGCTTTTTGGTTCTCTGGACGTGACAGCTTAATATTATAATTCTGGGTGTTGAAACAAACTTGATTATATCCAACGTTTTGGTCTCCTCATAGAGGAATTCTCAGGGAGAGTAGCAATAAACTGTAATGGAATGATGACACAATTACGTGGAGAACAATGACAGAGATTATTTTGCAATTCAATGAACCCTATATAAAGTCAAGGAACAAGAGAGGGCGAGGTGTAAGTGATAGAATCTATTGGGGGCATCAGTAGAGAATCCCAGATGTGTGATATATACCTCCACACTATCCCTGTTCATGAGGCTTGTGTGTGCTTGAGGATCTGCAGAGCCTCTCTGACTTCACTTGAGATGTGTCGCTGAATCCCTCCGTGAGGAACCCCGAAAGTTCTCTTGAGAATAATTAACAATAATTGTGTGGAACAATATCTAACCAAGTCCTGTGAGTGGTAACTTGGCAGGCAATAGTAATCTATTGTTGTTGCCTGGTAGTCCAGGACATGGGCTAGACTGGGGCCTGTGGGAATTAGTGCATTGAGAAATCCCATGTTGCACACAGCCCCGGTCAACAATATTATAGCTAGCTGTACTTACACACTGTAAAAAGTCTGTATAATTATAAGGAAAGGGAATGTTGTTTTTGGATTAAGCAAAGTAGTTGTATTATCTTACAAACAACTTTCATTGTTTTTTTGGCATAACTCCACTCTTCGTAAGGGAGAAATCGCAATACTGTGGTGATTGGCTGTGGGCTATAGTTAGTATCATAGTCGTGATGAATCGAGCCGTCTTTAGCATTCAGCTAATATCTTTTTTGTTGAAATGTGTTGATTCTGTCAGAGTCAATGAAATGCAAGAGTATGGTGTTGAACTGGACAGTGAGATAGAAAACGGATCATGGAGGGAACAACAAATGATAAGGGAGACTCTGGGCCCTTCTTTGAATGGAACAGTAGAACATAATGATGTATTGTGTCTGCAAACAAACATATGGTTTGTGTGGAACAATCGAACCAAGTCCTGTGAATGTGGGAGTGATGTGAGTGGTATAGTACACTGTGTGGCTCTCACAAAGGTGTTGTCTGTCTTGGACTGTAACTGCCTTACTATTGACTACGAGACTCAAGGACGGGCACTCCCAGCAGTTGGAAGCTGCATTTTCAACTGTGCCAATAACACCCACGTCGATCTCTTGTATCACAATGCTCCCACGGACTGTGCTAGTCTCAATCGACAAGGAACACTCTGTGGACAGTGTCTGGAGGGCTATGCTGTGCCGGCATATTCGTATGACTTGAATTGCATCAAATGCAATAGTGATATTCAAAACTGGGGCCACTACATACTCTTTGCGTTCTTTCCTCTAACTCTCTTTATTGTAATAACCATCGTCTTCAGGATCAATGTGCTCTCTCCAAAGCTCAACATATTTGTGCTTGCTTCTCAGGCTATTTCAATCCCCATATTCCTCAGGATCATACTGTACACCCTATCTCAAACAACGGAAAAGATTGTGAGTATTCCAGTAAAGATTGTTGTTGCTCTCTACGGAATTTGGAATCTTGACTTTCTTCGAGTTAATATCCTACCGGATGTCTGTATAAATGTCATTCCTCTGCACATCCTGTTACTGGACTATCTCGTAGTTATCTACCCCATGCTGCTAATTTCTGTAGCTTACACAATCGTTCAACTGCACAACTCTGGTTTTAGACCAGTTCTGTACGTGTGGAAGCCGTTTCATCGATATTTTGCTCGTTTCCGTCGGCAGTGGGGTATACAGACCACCATTATGGATGCCTTTGTCACGTTCTTTTTTCTGTCCACAACTAAACTGTTTAGTGTGTCTCTTGACCTGTTAATGGGTACCAGAATCTTCACACGTTATGGAAAAGCACGTTCGTTGAACTTGTACTATTATCCCAGCATCAAGTACTTTGGGCTAGAACACCTACCATATGCACTGTTGGCTATTTGTTTCCTAACTGTCTTCATTGCTTTTCCAACATCTCTTTTGCTCTGTTACCAATGCAAGGCCTATCGCAGATGTCTTGTAAAGTGCAAAATAGATGGGAAAATGATGGACGAGTTTATAAACGCCTTTCAGAAATACTACAAAGACGGAAGTAACGACACTTGGGATTGCAGGTGGTTCTCTGGATTTTTCATTCTCCTGAAGTGCTTTGCGTGTGTGATATACGCACTATCCACCAGTCAGATGGCATTCATGTATATCATGCAGCTGTGCACACTTGGAGCAATGGTCATCGTGATGGTGGAGCCCTACAAGGAAGAATACAAAGTGTTCAATATCATCAGTGCAAACCTTCTTCTGTGGTTGACACTGTTTTATGGCGCCTTAATGAACAATTACGCGTCCTATCTTTTTCAGATAGGACTAAGTGACCACTATATCACTACTGTAGTTCTTGGCCTTTTCCCACTTGTCTACATAGTTGGAGTCATCCTGCACCACTTGAAGAGGAGATTCAGAAGAGAGAGAGCACTGAGTTCTTCACTGCCAGATCGTCTACTGCACTCTGACCAGTACAGAGACAGTTTCGGTTTTATAGCTGCTTTTACAGACAGCCCACACTAATTTTGTGGCCCTATTCATTAATGTATTTTGTATTTTGAAGGGCGCAATGTCTTGGTTATGTAGCTAACAAGCGAATAGAAGATCCTACCATGTCCCATACTTTCCCTTCTCTCCCACAGAGAATGTATGGAGAAACACTACAAAAACATTAAAGTTTATGGCATTTTTCTGGCTCAGTGTATGTCAGTAAAGTGCACAAAAAATACATTATGTACAGAAAACCCCAGAATGCTTGTACTATGTTTGTGGGTTTTCTGTACATCACATATTTTTGTGCACTTGTACTGACATACACTGAGCCAGAAAATGCCATAACACTTGAACGTTATTGTAGTGAAAGAAAATGAAAAGTGCTAATGAGTTTGTGAAACAATACCTAAAAATTCGAGATACTTACAAAGATCACAGGCTTTACTATCTAAATAATTATGTACATCGATGCCCACACACTTTTACGGAGCAAGTGCTCCACGTGCCAAACTCACCTTTCTTAAATACGGTAAGCCAGCTAAAAAACTATCTATCTGTAGTCATACAGTCCTTCGCTCCCCTCCCACCACAGACCACACGGTGCTGCCCGCCTGCACTATACTTAACTTCCTTGTCCTGCATGCGCAATTATACGCCTCAGCCTAACATCGCAGTTGCCCCTGATATGAGTGCCTATGATAATTGTAATTGCTGTTAGTTCTCATCATAGTGTTGGGTAATGAACTATCATTTCTGTTCTTCAGTCTGCTCTGGAGGGGTTTCTCCTATCTTTTCTGCTTTGTTGCTACTGTCACCAGTATCTTTTTCCCCGTCGCCTTCACTCTGTTGCTTTGTGTCTATTTCAGCTGTGGTGGGTGGGGCCTCAGCGGTGGTGGGTGGAACTTCAGCTGTTGTGGGTGGAGGCTCAGTAGTGGTGGGTGGAGCTTCAGTTGTAGTTGGTGGGGCCTCAGTAGTGGTGGGTGGAGCTTCAGCAGTTGTGGGTGGAGGCTCAGTAGTGGTGGGTGGAGCTTCAGCAGTTGTGGGTGGAGGCTCAGTAGTGGTGGGTGGGGCCTCAGTAGTTGTGGGTGGAGCTTCAGTTGTGGTGGGTGGGGCCTCAGTTGTGTGGGTGAGCTTCAGTTGTGGTGGGGCCTCAATTGTAGTTGGTGGAGCTTCAGTTGTGGTAGGTGGTGCTTCGGTTGCTATGGGTGGCACCTCTGTTGGAGTAGCTGTCTCATTCGGGGCTTCCACTGTCGACAAAGGGGCGGGGTCGGTGGTGGTGGGTGGGGCCTCAGTGGTTGGATCTGGTTGTGGTGTCTTCGGAGGTTCAATGCCGAGTTTTCTCATCACCACCTCAGCGATCAGGGCTGTAATAAATAATAAATGAAAAGAAGTGCAAACTCTTGGCGCACTAGAAAGTGTCAAACCTACGCGCAGTACTGCTAATTGATAGGCTTTAGTATGCAGTTGTCAATTTACTTTGTTGCTAGTACTTTCGCTGTGTATGTGCACGCAAGGCTTAATGGAAGCACCTGAAAGCAGATAATCTTCATCACTATAGTCAACATTACGCACAAACTCAACATGAAGAGGGGTATTATAGTTTTGTGGCGCTAGTTTTCGGATTGTTACAAAAGCAGAATGAACATAGGGCAATCTGGTAGAAAATCCCATGTGATGCCAGAGAAGAGGAGTTGGCAGTGTTTCAGGATGTGGCCCTCATCAGCAGACTACAGCTTCTCTCCCTGGCATCATGAGTTTATAAAGGCTGCCATGGGTGCACTTGTGGTTTTAAACTAATGAGATTCATCCCCACAAGGCATTGCTCATGCACGCATGAGAACTATAATTATGTTTGGCACCATTTCATGGATTTAAAAAATGATAATGCATCGAAGAAAACTGCACCATTTAAAACTTCTCCATAGATTGTTAACCAAAACAATTCTAGTATGGCCATGCTGAACTATACGCTGCCCTTCGAGAAACGTGGTCAATGGTAGATTCATGGGTAAGGAAAGGAACCAGAGCTGTTCCCAGCCAATGCTCTGGACCACCTGTCAGTTTCAGTGTGGGTCCGGGAATCAAACCGGGCACCTTATGTGACAGTCCCCACGTCTCTAACCACTTAGCCAATTGGGCTGGCCACGAGAGATGATGAAAAACGTTCCTCTTATACCAACACTCATATTTAAAAAAAAACACCACAGACCAGGGATCGAACTGCTGACCTCACGATCTAGTGTGTGGAAAAAGTTGTGTGGAGAATGCACAGTTCATGCATTGTCACTAAAGTGCAAACCCTCGGCGTACTAGAAACGTTCGCACGTAAGTACTCACATGTATGGTACTGCTAATTGATGGTCTGGGCTATTTTTACTTTACTCGATGGTCTCTTGCCAGCTAGCTCACTGAGAGTCTGTCACAGGCTGGCTATCCCTACTAGAAAGCATACAGGAGTCGATGCACGCCCGGCGTTGCAACTTATGGTGCTCAGGAATACAGAGCAAGCGGATCAGATCGAAGTAAGCCTGTGCGAATTTGATATTGGCTTTTTCACTTGGTTTTCACGTCATAACTCTTGAACGCAGCGAAATTCTCCAATTTTAAATAAAGCCCAGTGTAGCGCTGAAGCTTTTGGTATTGCTCTTTGGTTGTCTCGTTGTGCGTGGTGACAGAACACACACCCACAAACCAAATACCGTAACCCTCGCTGTGCATGGTCACTGAAGGTTAATTAGTTAGCTAGGGTTTTCCATCTTTCTACTGTATATACAGCTCATGGGAATGAGAGCATGCAAGTCGATTTACCCTTCCAATGGTTATGGGTCCACATTGCACGTTGAAAGACAGACCAGCCAATGAACTATCCTGAACAGTACCTTAGTAGTGACAGGGGAAGACAAGTGTAAGGCTACACCCTGATCAGTGGATGGAGCGTTCCACACAAGTTGATTTTGTACTGTACTACGCACACAGGCAAACAACACAATGCTGGCCATTAGGCAACTAGGTCCAGAGAGTATTTGAACGCTAGACTCACAGTCAAGCAGAGCTCTGGCCAGGATCCTCTGGTCCAGCACCTTCACAGTCTCATCCATCAGCCACGGCAGAAACTGCCCCTCAACCTCTGTAGTAGCAGGACAATTACTTGACTACCGAATATTGGGAACTGAACATTCATTCACACTATAATTCAAAACAGTAATCTGGGGGAAATAGCAGGTCCAGGACGTCTGTTTCTTCCTCCCCCTCCCACCTCATTTTCCATATCTCTTCCCTCCCTGCTCTCCCGTCTATCTTGCCTAGCTTCAAGTCACACTCTTTTCACTCTCTATGTGTTGTAATAGGAAGGTTGTGTGTACAAGGTTGGTGTGTACATACCTCTCTCGACAGGGTCATAGAAGAAGCCTCCCTGGTTGAGGTTGGAGAAGACAGAGGGCAGGAGGTCAGAGAGGTAGCTCTGGGCAAAGGCACGGGCCGCTACTTTTTCGGCCGTCTCCTTCTCCTTCAGCAGAGCCTCTCTCTTCTGCTGCATTCTCCTCTCCTGGAGCAGGGTGGGAAGGGGTGAAGGGAGGGGAGTTGGGGGAGAGTGAAGTATAGGTATTTAACATAAATTGTATCCATAAAAACTGGTTCACTAATAGCATCAATGCCTAATGCACTTTTCAGAATTTTGTAAAGTAGAGGGGAAAGAGAGGTGCATAAAATGTGTCCAAGAGGTTTGTACATTTTAGTGGTAGAGCGGAACCTCCGATAAGGGATCCCCCGAGATAGGGCAACCCCTCTACATAAAGGACACTTGTTTCAACCCCATGCCAATGCTTAAGTGTACTAAGATGGGGATAACCTCTCTACAAGGGACAATATTGTTGGCCCCATAGTGACCCTTGCTCGCTCGGAGGTTCCACTGTACTTTGTAGCAGTGAATTGCCTGAGTGAGTTAAGGGGACTGACAGACTGACCTTCTCCTCCCTCCGTCGCCTCTCCTGCTCCTCCAGTCGCTGCATCTCCACCATCTCTGCATTCCTGTTCTCTTCAAACACTCGCTGTGCGACAGAAACACAAACACAGCAGTCTGTCAAACTCATGAGTATCATTCACACATGAAGTAAATCACTCCTGTATGCAGCAAGTGAAGGAAAAATCACATTCATGCACATGTGAAAATTCCCTTTGGACGTCTTGGGTATTAAAAAAATCATGCAATAAAGCGCCTATGTAGTATTATAGAAGCTTTTATGTGTTCATGGCTGGTCAATGTTAATGCCCCTTACAGATAAATAATAACACACATTGAGCCCTCACTCGTACATGTTCACACAGACCTGTTGTTGTCTGAGGGCGGCGAGCTCCTCCTCCTCCATGACCTCCAACAGAGCCTGCTCCACTGTCTTCCCCACCAGCACCTCTAGAATAGGCTGCACCTCCAGGTCAAAGTGAAATAGCTGTGGGAGCAGAGGATGGAGAGACAGGAATTACGTTTACAGTTGAAAAACACTTTTAGAAGTTAACGTTAAAAGAGCAGCTATCAAACACAAGCAGTATGCAACGTGTGTAAGATACACTTTGATTTAGCGAGATGGTGGTTCACAAATGAATTTATGAGAGTACAACAATAGGAACATGGATGATGTTTAGGTTGTGCTCCTTATTGTACAAACATGGGTGTTACTGCTTTGCATGAATGCACTGTTCTTGCCAGAGTAGTGGTTTAAGTCTCAGCTAAGCTAAGCACCTGAGGCCTGATTTTGTCTATAGTCCAGGTGAGTAACAAAACACTCACATCTCCCTCCTCAATCTGAGTAGCCACATCCCTGCCGATCTTGGCCGGAACAAACAGTGGAGTTGGCGGCCTGTCCAGAAACGCATCAGTCTGCGTCGCGACCTCAGTCTCCTCCACTCTGTCAGTGATCTCCTCCAGGTAAAGCTCTGTCTGGACCTCTGTGTGTCTCCGGCCGTCCACCGGGGGAGGGGAGCGAGGTCGGAGGGTCTCCCGGGCTCGGCGGCGGGCGATGGCACGACGACGTGACTCCTGCTGTCTCTGGAGCTCCAAACGGATCTGGTTGAGATGACTGAGGGAGAGAGTGGAAGGAAGGAAAGAGGGAGAGAGGGAAGGGGATGGTGAATGACGAGAAAGGACAGTGGGAGAGAAAGGATTTGAGCAGAGAGTTGATGTAGTCTTGCTAGCCAAACCCTCACACGAGCTAGGCTACACTTTCATTATAATATACTGATATATATTGCCACTGATAATAGCTAATAACTAAACTAGGACAACCTATCATCTCTCGTGCTATGCTAATACTGGTCAGACTTGGTTGTGCAACCATAGCTACGTAGTTACATACTTACTGCTGGGAGAGTGTGCAGGGCGTATGTGTTGCCTCGAATGATGCGTCTGTCATACATCATGTTTCCGGCTGCCTGCGGCTGCCTGAAGGAAAAAGTTCAGGTTGCTGTAGCGCCTTAGTATTCGACTCACTTTTCCCTGTATTTGGCCTTCTGCGGAGCAGCGTGGGGCTGCGAAGAATAGGTGTAGGTCTCCGTTCCTTCCATGTTAGATTGGAGCATTGAGGTGGCCATGGTCTATAATCGGTGCTCTACACAACGCCAGCCGCTTATTTCTGCTTGCGCTTTTTGCAAGAGTTTAGCAGATACCATGACAACAGGTTTCAGGCATGCGCACAAACGTCGTTCTAATTAACGCCCATTGTTGAGTTTGGCATTCATCATTCTCTGCCTCGTCGCACTCTCTGAGCGAGTATCGATCGAAACAGCAGCTGTGGTGATGAGCAGAGAGATGCGGTTGCCCGGAATAAAGTGACGGTCGCTCTTCCTATCGTCTAAGTTGGCAGAGGTGAGTTGTAAAGTGTTTAGTAGGTAGCTAGTCTTGAGAGTGGTTAGTTGCTTTTGGACGGGAATATGGGGCAATTCTTATATGTTGTGGGTCTTGTTTTGTTGCCGTTTCGTATCCATTCTTTTCACAAAGTTTCAGGTTCAGTGTTGCGGATACATTCATGTTTCTTTACTGCCTCAGACCATGCTACTATCTGTGTTGGCAAACCCTAGTTTATCAGCCAGCAGTGTATACAGTAGTTCCTGAGTAACTGTAGGTGTACTATTGAACGATGTGAGAGATGTAGCGGGATGTGTATCACATTGTGTTGGCTGTGGCCATGTTTCTGGAGTCAGCTTTTGTACGTCCATCAGTGCACAATACATTAACCAACACTTTGATGTTGTTCACATTGGCGAACATAATGCCTATGCAAATGCCTATGCAGTAGGATCAATGTCGAAAAGAATCTGATGAGAAGCCCGTGTGGATACTTACATGCATTCATTATAATTATGTATGTACATACGTATGTGGTCAGAAGGTAAAGGTCGCGCCAGGTTGTCATTTTAGCCTTCTATGCATCTGTGGAGAAGTGTACTAATGGGGTTGTTGATATATCTTTAGGTGGGAGGGAGGGAGGGGAGCAATTTCACATATGACGTACATAGGTACTGTACATGTTTTATTATCACTCTCTACTTGTACTGTATGTATGTGTGTTACTTACATCTCATGTGGCGTGTTTGATCTCTGTTTTGATAAACGTATCTGCTGTTCTCATTTGTGTGGAGGATGGTTTAGGTACACCTGTGAGCATTGGAGCAGCTTCTGGTGCAGTATATACAGTACACGATGTGTATGTGTATATGCACACTGCAAGGAAATAATTATTCTTATGCCGTGTATTGTCCAATCCTGTTGTGTAGTTGAGTGTGCTCTTTCACCAGTAGCTCGCTTGTATTGTATACAGAGAAGCTGGTTAGAACAGATGAAGCGTATGCCTGCTATTGACACGCCGCAACTTTTTTGCAAGGGTGTGTTTGTGTATGTATGCACATCATGTATGTACTACATGTGTGATGTTTTAGTTTTATATACGAGTATGGCTGGGTCATTACAGGGAGGCATATACATAGGACATGATTTGCGTATGAGCAGTGTTTGAAGAAGTTTATCTCGAGGAGGCACCTCAGGAGTAGAACCACAGCACATTCTCTTTCTCAATTGGCGTGAAAATATACTCGGGATGAAATATTCCTTCAGCAATGCATTTTGTATCCTCATACATACACATTGATTTTATTGACTTTCTCGACTTTCCACATCTATATAATTATTATGTATAATTATACTATGATTATACCATAAAGATTGTCAGATGTTAGGCTACTACAGTGGAGTCTCGTTATGGGGACCTAAGTAATTTGTCACAGTAACAGTGATTTGTCGTAAGTGTGGTGAAAATGTACAGTGTTCTATAGGGCTAGGCTCCGAGGGTGTGTTTGTAGTTTCCAGAATTTCGTACTAAGTGTGTTCTTTATAATGAGACTCCACTGTAGCATAGCTACTCCGATAGTTGATGTACGTATCTGTGTAACTACGAGTGCACATGTTTACCCAGGGCCTTCACCTCCGATTATATCGCTCTGCGGAGACGTCGCCCACCGTCCAGAATGGGCTACGAGATCACGCGGTTTGAGGAGGAGGTGGACGAGGAGCTAATGTGCAGCATCTGTGGCCAGGTCCTGGAGAACCCCATCCAGATCCGCAAGTGCGAGCACTGTTTCTGCGAGTCTTGCATCAACGAGTGGCTCAAGCTCCACTCTGTCTGTCCGAACGACCGAAACCCAGTCTCCCCGCTGGAGGACCTCACCCAGCCGCCGAGGATACTCCGCAATCTCCTCTCTCGACTCAAGATCTCCTGCAATAACAAAGAGTTTGGCTGCACGGCTGTTGTGAGGCTCGACCGGCTGAAGGTCCATCTGGACGAGTGTCAGTACAACCCGAAACGCCCCGTCGCCTGCGACAAGGGTTGCGGGCTCATAGTCCCGCTCGACGAGGTCCCCCAGCACAACTGTGTGCGGGAGCTGTACAAGATGCTCAAGTCTCAGTCGGATGAAGTGTCGAGTCTAACGTCCAAAGTCAGTGCCCTGGAGGTGCAGCTGACTGCCCAGAACAGAGAGATACTCATTCTCAAAGAGATAGTCCGTGGGCTGAGGTCGTCCAGTATCTATGCCGGAGTGAACTCGGACGAGACTGAAAAGGCTATAGACACGGTGAGATGGTTGTCGAGTCTGAAACCGGCCCGTGTTCGCCGGTGGGGTGGGATGATATCGACGCCCGACGCAGTACTCCAGAACATTATCAAGAGAGCACTCCAGGAGAGCGGGTGCCCCGCCCACCTGCTGAATGAGCTAATGGCGAATGCTCACGAGCGGCGGTGGCCGACGGGACTGAGTACGCTGGAGACCCGACAGGCCAACAGACGGAGGTACGAGCAGTACGTGACAAAGAGGGTGCCCGGGAAGCAGGCCATCGTGATAATGGCCTCAGAGAACGAGCACATGGGGGACTCCATGATAGTGGCTCCCGGACTGGCCATGATATTTGCACACGGAGTTGAGTGACATCATCTCATTTTCT